AGTGATGACAGTCCCAGAGCTAAGAGGTCAGAGAAAGTCCATTACTTGAAGGAAAAAAGTTTCAATAGCAAGAAAACACACACACCCTGGCTGCTCACACACACTCGACTGCTCACTCATACTCCTGACTGCTTACACATATCCTTGTCTGCTCACACACACCCTGGCTGCTCACACACACCCTGGCTGCTCACACACACTCGACTGCTCACACATACTCCTGACTGCTCACACACCCCTGACTGCTACACACTCCTGTCTGCTCACACACACACTCCTGACTGCTCACACACACTCCTGACTGCTCACACACACTCCTGACTGCTCACAAACACACCCCTGACTGCTCACACACACTCCTGACTGCTCACACACACCCCTGACTGCTCACACACACCCCTGACTGCTCACACACACTCCTGACTGCTCACACACACTCCTGACTGCTCACACACACCCCTGACTGCTCACAGACACCCGACTGCTCACACACTCCTGTCTGCTCACACACACTCCTGACTGCTCACACACACTCCTGACTGCTCACACATACCCCTGACTGCTCACACACACCCCTGACTGCTCACACACACTCCTGACTGCTCACACACACTCCTGACTGCTCACACACACTCCTGACTGCTCACACACACCCCTGACTGCTCACACACACTCCTGACTGCTCACACACACTCCTGACTGCTCACAAACACCCGACTGCTCACACACTCTTGTCTGCTCACACACACTCCTGACTGCTCACACACATTCCTGACTGCTCACACACACCCCTGACTGCTCACACACACTCCTGACTGCTCACACACATTCCTGACTGCTCATATACACCCCTGACTGCTCACACACACTCCTGACTGCTCACACACACTCCTGACTGCTCACACACACTCCTACATGCCCCCCTTGCCATGGTCTTTACTCAAGCAGTTCAGCTCTGGGCCTGATTACACCAACACTGTGGGTGGTGTCCACAGTAGTGCACAGTGCTCAGACACCACCCCAAAGCTGGCTGATCAGTCCTGGCATCTCCACCTCCCCTGGAGTAAGTAAAATGGAACCAGCGAGCACTTTAGCTAGATGTCCAGAGCCTGGCAGTGGTTAGGAGAAATTCCATAGATGATTCTATTCCTTGTGGTCTGAGTAGGTTTTGTTAGAAATTGTACACTTAAAAGACTTAGAAGTGGGTCTAGTCCACGCAGGCAATGCTGTCACAGGGCACACTTGGCAGGGCTGAGAAAGTAAGCAGCAGGGGTGTCTCTGTACTTCTACAAACGTAAAAACTGCTTTCAGCGCATGCAGATAGTTTTAGTATCTTTCTTGACAACCAAAGTTCATGATCTCCATCTCAACTCAACCTAATAAAAAGTGGAGATAGCCTTAGTCACTATGGACTATGGCTTCGGAAAATTTCCAGAGCCCAAGTAATGCCAATCAAGAGGAATCAGGTTCTGCCCTAGCTGGTTTGGCTCAGTGAATAGAGCATCGACCTGTGGACTGAAGGGGCCCAGGTTTGATTCCAGTCAAGGGCACGTACCTTGGTTACGGGCTCGATCCCCAGTCCAGGCACGTGCGGGAGGCAACCAATCAATGTGTCTCTCTCTCATCGATGTTTCTCTCTCTCTCTCTCTCTCTCTCTCTCTCTCTCTCTCTCTCTCTCTCTGTGTGTGTGTGTGTGTGTGTGTGTCTCTCCCCCTCCCTTCCACTCTCTCTAAAAATCAATGGGAAAATATCCTCAGGGGAGGATTAGCGACAACAACAACAAAAGAGGAATCAGATTCTAAATAATGAACTGTTTCTACTACTTTTGTCCATTTTCAGTCTCAGATATAAGTTCCAGACAGACATATACAGGTGCACGTTTATGTAATTTTTTCAAATTCACATATGCTGTCCAAATGTGATCAACTTAAGAAGCCTAGAAGTAAACTACTTACATTTCATTTCTACTGTCTGTCCTCTCAGTCTCAATAAATGTTAAAATGTGCATCAACAGAATGATCATGCTGATACTCCCTCGAAAACAAAAGATGCTGCAGAAACCTGGCCCATATGTACAGTAGCCCCTGGCCACCACTCAGATGTAACCCTGGTCATGGCTGAGCCACAGAGAACGCTGCAGAAAGGTGAAAAGACAGCAAAAGCCAAGGCGGTCAGCTCGCCGTTAGGACCAAAGCATCTGCGTGCTGAGTTAGAGGTCCCTCTCCAAGCAGCTTCTGGCCCTGCTCCCCCGCCACAGCCAAAGTAGCAGGAGGTACATACGGCAGGTGTACACATCTCTGTACTCCATGTGCTCGTAATCGGGAAGAATTTTCATGAAACGGCCCGACTTCACGCGAGGGTTTATACCTGAACGACACAGCAGGGAAAGGGCTAAGGATGGTTCCACTTTCACAATGGTATAAACAGTTTTCATATGGCTCAACACCTGCTCCCTCACCACCATCCTACTCAACCCCCGGCACCGTAGGAGGCAAGCACTTGACAAAAATGAGAGGCCTGGCTAGAAAGAAAACGTTGTGCTGTATGTTCACACCAGAAACACATGATGGTGACAGGCTTGGGACACTCTTCATGCTCACTCTCCTCCCTCTACTGTCCTGGTCAGTGGAGCTCACTGAGGTGGGAAAGCAGAGGACACAGCTTGTGGACAGGGAACCCTTTCCCTGTTTAGGGAACCCTTGTGCCCCAACTAAGATATTCAGCTTGTATAGTGTATGCCCAGTGCTTTCCTTTGTTTGTGTTTGTTTGGTTTTGGACAGCGGATGACATCTGCCAGCTCCTCACTCAGAGCCTTCGCTTCTGAGTCAAGGCTGGCTCACTCTTCCACCTATGCCAGGGGCTAAGGTTGACTTTCTTCCACCACCTGCTCCAGAAGCTAAGTAACTTTCTCCTGGATAAGGCCTTCAAAGCAAACTCACAAAACATGCGCCTTCACTGTGAAACCTGCTTTGGCTGGTGGCAAATTAAACACTTTGGGACACTAAATGAAGATTATATGAGTCATTCTCTGGATTTCCTGACCGTTTTCAAAGAGTCAAGAATCAGCAGTCAAGGGGGCAGGAGCAGGGTGCAGGGGGGCTAGTGCGGGAAAAGGGGATATCTCTGACACTTGTAACAATGAAAATTTTTTTAAAAGAATCAGCCCTAGCCGGTTTGGCTCAGTGGATAGAGCATTGGCCTGTGGACCAAAGGGTCCCAGGTTGGATTCCAGTTAAGGGCAGGTTGTGGTTGCAGGCTCCTCCCCAGCCCAGGCCTTGGTCAGGGCGCATGCAGGAGGCAACCAATCAATGTGCTTCTCTCACATCGATATTTCTCTGTCTTTCCCTCTCTCTTCCACTCTAAAAATAAATGGAAAAATATCCTCCAGTGAGGATTAAAAAAATAATAATAAAAGAATCAGCAGTCAAAAGAAATCTCCAGATGTCCTTCTCTGTCCACCCATGCCCCACATGCATGTGTGCTTGTTGACCTCGCCATGGCTCTTGTCCCCTCTCTGTTGCCCACTCCTGACTTACCTCTGGCCACACCATCTCCTGCTCCCTAGCAGTCACTACCCACCTATAGAGAAAAGACTGTTCCTTGACATGACCATTGTCTGTCCTGCAAGCTGAACCTGAGCCAGAACGGAAGTTGCTTTCTGCAAAGCCCCCTTAGAGACTGTTTGGTCATAAATGATGTTCATTCAGTCCAGGCGGTGTGACTCAGTAGTTGAGCATCAACCCAGGAACCAGGAGGTCATAGTTCGATTCCTGGTCAGGGCACATCCCAAATACCGGACTCGATCCCCAGTAGGGGGCGTGCAGGAGGCAGCCAATCAATGATTCTCTCTTATCATTGATGTTTCTAAGTTGTTCTCCCTCTCCCTTCCTCTCTGAAATCAATAAAAACGTATTTTAAAAAAATAATGATGTTCATTCAGATATAAATAAGCACCCTCCCTTGCCTCTTGCTATGTGCTGGCTCTGGAACAGGTTGTTGCCCTGACCTGGAAGAGCATGGAAAGTGTTTCCCGTACCGGGTAGCATTCACGTACTAGAATGTGACTATCTCCCCTCTACCCCATATATTTCTTTGGTGCCTGTCAAGCGGTGCAGAGATGCATTTCATCCTGCAGCTGCCCATGACATGCCTTGTCTGTAAGTTTCCCCTAATAAACTCCATTGATTACCAGACTAAAGTGGCCAGACTCGTTCTTCCTTCTTTTCTCTGCTCTCGCTTACGGAGGTAGATTTTTCCATCTCGGGGCTTTTCCCTGGGTCTTCGTGTACAAACACCGCCCCCCGCCCCCCTGTTCCCAGGTACCCCCTCTATATAGGACAGCCACCAGCAGGGCCCAGCCAACCCCTCCCCCACCGCTGAGATGAGCTCCATGGGGGCTTATTCACCAGGTGTGCTGTCCTCTGGGTGTCACAGCCCCTAATGCCTGGCAGACGTGAGCACCTGGCCCCCTCCAGGACACTACGTTGAGACTCACAACTCTTCAAGAGAGAACAGTCTTCATGCTGCTTTAAGACACTATCATCAAATGGCCAAGGAAACTCAAAAACCAGTTCCCAAAGATAAGAACTTGTCCTATTAGATACTCATAAAAGCCAGTGGACATCCACAGAGCCAGGAAAGCTTTCTTGTATGTACAGACTGTTGCAGGGAGTGCCTGGTTCTGACTCTAACACCAATGCCAACAGCAAGAGTGAATTCCTCCAACTCTACGGACTGGCTAGATTTAAGACACTGAGCTCTGGATAAAACACTGAGAAATCGAGGGTGGAGCCAGACCCATGTGGGCTCCCATAGAATAAAGGGTGGGAGGGGAGCAAGGGAGCAACCAGCTTCCTGCCTCTGAAACTCTGGGCTTTGGAGGAATCACAGACATTGTTCTTGCTGATGAGATGAGAGGACAGGAAGGGTTACTTCCACGAGACTCACTTCCTCTGGAGAGACGCACATCTTCTGGGGTTGGTGGGGTGTGAAGCAGAGGCAAGAGAAGAAACCAAAGTCTGAAAGTGCACGGGGATGGAGGAGCAGGGAGAGAGGTCTTGAGCAGATCAGCCTTGCAGTGGGGCCCAGGGCTGGGACAGTAACTCAGGAGGCAGTAGCAGGCGTGAAAATGGTGGCTGGGGGCAAGGGTGAAGCCCGAGGTCCACAGGAGGGAAGAGTAGGGGGTGCTAGGAGTTGGCAGAACTGGAATTGATGTGTGGCAGGCAGAGAGGCCCCGACAACAGCCTTTCCAAGTTTCCAAGTCTCTCTGAGGCAGGTGAGAGGGGATAAGAACTTGGAGGTCACGGCTGAGTCACCAAGAATTGTGCATGGAAGAGGAAGCCCCATGAAGAACTTAGAGCCTTTTGATAGGAAATAGCCTGAAGTGTGACAAATTCTAACACAGAAAGACTAACCAATCCAACACTCCCAAATGGCCAGGGGATCACAGTGTGGAGAGTCTGATGGGATGAGGAAGCGATGAGATGATGAAATCAGCCCAGATATAGAGACTGAACACCGCCTGGGTCTTCCCACGGTCAGCCGCTCTGCACAAGTGCCAGCTCTAGCTGTCCTGGGAGTGCAGCCACGTGAAGGAGGGGTGTCTCGGAAGGGGACTCTGAGAGGAATAAATCCACGGAAAAGATGGGATTCAGAGAGTGGCCCCAATTAGTCCCCAGACCTTGCAAGAAAGCCTGGAGCACCCAGATGTTTCCTTGGAGAAGCGTGGCCCTCAGTTCCTGGGTAAGGTGCTTGGTCAGCAGACATCACCTGGTCTCCTTTCAATGGAGAACTGGGTAGAAAGTTCAGGAGAACGTGAAAATCAACATTTTCTAAGATGGTTTTAAGATGAACACTTAAGCCCCTCTTCAGAATGGTCAACAGGTCAGCTTTAGGCCAAAGAGAACTGGGTCACCATTATCTTTCTTACTCTGTTCTTTAATCCCCACCTCTGGGTGCTAAAATAATCCATGCCACACCCCAACTGGGTGGTGAGTGAGCATGCTGCTTCCTGTGCCTCCGCTGCTCCTGGGCCACATCAGCGTTCACAGGAGCCTTCACAGCCTCCTATAAAGGGGCCCAGGGGAAAGGCCAGCTGGGAAGATACTTGGGGCTGGGGAAGCTCGGAGCACTCAGGGAGTGTTGCTGACGACTCTGGAAAGTAAAGGAAACTGAAGGGAAGACTGAACTGAAGGGCTGGAGCCCAGTGCCAGGCTGGAGGGAAGAGCTGCTCCACAGGCAGCCCTGTTAGCTGAGGGAGTCAGCGGGAGGCTCACGGCTCCATTTCCCAGTTACTATCAGCCATCGCACATCTAATCAGGCCATGGACCCAGAATCCAGAGAGAAGGACCCCTCTGGAAGCACCCGAGTTTGTTCCCAGTGTAGATATGTTTCTCCGATCTACAGGTCCTTGACACCTAATATCCTGTTATGGGTTGAAAAATAAGGGTACTGACATGCCCAGAAAGGGAGAAGAGAGGCCCCATCCGTTTTAGTGCTATTACTACCAGTGCTGTCTCTAAAATGTCAATTATACCCTGGCCAATGTGGCTCAGTTGGTTGGGCACTGTCCCGTGCACTGAAAGGTTGCAATTCCCAGTCAGGGCACATGCATGGATTGTGGGCTTAATTCCCAGCAGAGGGCATGCAGGAGGCAACTGATCAATGTTTCCCTCTCACACAGATGTTTCTCTTTCTCCCTCTCCCTTCCTCCCTCTTTCTCTCCTTTCTTCTCTCTCTAAAAATCAATTTTAAAAAATCTTTAAAAAATTAAATAAAAATGTCAATTATGACATTAAAATTAAGGTCTAAGAATGGAACTAGGTTTTCGGTCAAAATAATTTATTATCCATCATTGATGCTCAAGGTGCCTGCTCTTGGAACAAAATTAATGATGGATGAGATGATATTAGATTAACTTACGCTTCGCATAGACATCTCGACAAGACACACCCGTGATCTCCAGCTTCCGTAAGTTTTCACAAACACCATACTCTGTAACAAGAAACATTTACTAGACGTTACAGTCAAGAAATCACAAAGTAATAGAAATAGACCGACAGGAGGGAGAGGAGAAAAGGGAGGGGGAGAGGAAGGGAAGCAGGGTGATGCCTAAGCCTTAGCCATGTCTCACTAGTCTGATCACACGATTCCAAAACCACACAATCCCCCGCTTATGAATATGGTGTGGCAGGAATTCAGTGTTCGGGAAACAATGCATGTTCCCATGAAAATGAGATTGTCATTGGTGTCAGGGTTCCACGAAGGCCCTTTTAACCCCGTCTGGCCCAACACACTACTAATTCTATTAAACAAAAACATGGTCCTACAATTGAAGACCTAGGCAAGACACGGGAAGGAGGAACTGGACAATCCTGCCCTTCTGCACTGGGCTACCTTAGAACAACAGCCGGTCAGGGGATCCTTGACACTCTCTCCACCTCCTGTCCTCACCTCTCACCTGGCCCATAGTGCATCCTCCCTGTCCCTACTCTCATCCCACTACGGCCCCACTATTCAAAATCACACCCTCCCCTCAGCACTTCCCAACCAAAACCTTGGGTTCTTCCGTTCAGATCTCAGTGAGGTTTCAAAAGGAAAGCATTGTCATCAACACAAATACAGAGCTGCCTGTTGGCTAAGAGCTAATAGTGACAACACCAGCCTCATACCAACCTTTGTGCAGGCTGGGCACCATGCCAAGCTCCTGCCGGGCACCACGATACTCTACCCTGCCAGCAGCCCCTGAGAGAGGTGCTATTGTCATCTCCATTTTAATGATGAAAAGACAGGGGCAGAGAGGTGACTGATTTGCACAAAGGAGCATGGGCTTATGATGGGGACCCAGAATCAAAGCCTGGATGAGAAAGCCTCATAGTTGTGAGCACAGCCCGAGCACAGGTGTGTGCTCTGTAAGCATTTGATGAGGAGTATAAGGGGCCCCTAGGGCAGGGGTCCTCAAACTTCGGCCCGAGGGCCACATGCAAATACAAATATTGTATTTGTTCCCGTTTTGTTTTTTTACTTCAAAATAAGATATGTGCAGTGTGCATAGGAATTTGTTCATAGTTTTTTTTTTAAACTTTAGTCCGGCCCTCCAACGGTCTGAGGGACAGTGAACTGGCCCCCTGTTTAAAAAGTTTGAGGACCCCTGCCCTAAGGCCTCACAGTAATAGCCACCAGGAATCTCACTCACTGTGCTCCTATCAGGTGCAGGCATCCAACTGGGGCTTCATAGAATAGCCTGGAAATAAAATGCTGACAATCACCTCTAAGCCCAGTACTATGCCCCCATCGCAGGGAGGGAAACTGAGGCTTGGTGAGGTTGGTGACTCAGCTGTCATCTGAAATATGGATTGATACAGTCTGGACAGTAGCCGCAGAGCACTGTTTCTCATCTCATCACTTTCGATCAGGCCTGAACCTGCCCGAGGTCTGGTCTTTTCAATGGAATGGATGCTATTAACTCAAATGCTTCCATAGTAGTTCGGATTTGACAGTACACAAAGTAGAGCTCAAAATGCACATAGGATGGAGAAGCTATCTCGGGTGAGGCAGTTACTACCCTGCAAACCCCTTTGGTCAGGCTTGCTTTTCCCTACCGCCACTGTCAAACAGACATGAAGTTCAGGACCTAAAACCATGGCCTTGCTCATTATCAGGCAAAATACACCTGTCTATCCTCTTGCCAAGAGGAATGTGGACTCCATTCTAGAACAGAGATCGCCAACCTTTCGGACCTCATGGACCACTGGTTGGAGACCGCTGTTCTAGAAGATTATACAGATTATAAGCACTTCTGAGGAAACACAAATTACGAAATATGCTGAGAATCTGGGGCAGGGGTAAAATAATGTGGGCATGTGACATGAGTTTTCAGCAATCTGAGAGACTAGTTTGTGAAAATCCTTGCAGACCACTCCTGGTTGGTGAAACAAACAAGACCAACTTGTCTACCCCCTCTCACCGAGAAGAGTTCTGCTCTATATTAAATTATCTTAACACTTTCCTGTGGCTCTGTGATACCAAGTGGCTCCTGCTGAACACCACCAGTCATTGTCACTACTTTATCCAGTTCTCCAAAAATACACTTTATCCTTCTCTTGTAAAAACGATGCACTTCAAAATTGTTACTGCAGCCCAGCCGGTGTGGCTCAGCAGTTGAGTATTGACCTATGAACCAGGTCATGGTTCAATTCCTGGTCAGTCCCCAGTGTGGGGTGTGTAGGAGGCAACCGATCAATGATTCTCTTTGATCACTGATGTTTCTACCTCTCCCTTCCTCTCTGAAATCAATAAAAATGTATATTTTTTAAAATTGTTACTGCATAGTAATATTGTTGCTTTGGTTTGCTTTCTGTGTGGCTTTCGAAGGCCAGCTCCTTTTCTCAGTTCCAGCGTGCTACGTGCACGAAGCAGCCAAGGACCAGCCTCTTTCTGCCAACCAACAAAGCGCTTTGATTATGGGGCAGGGGATGTGGCAAGGTGTCCTCCTTTGAAATGCATACTTTTGTAATATGTGTTAGTACTGAAGGCCAATGGTTATACACAGGGCGAGCCCTGAAATGCATCCATCTGTGCTCTTGTTGCTGATGGCCTTTTGTGAGGCACTGAGACTGTTCCTTGGGCGTTCCTCTGTGCTCAGACTGTGGAAGGCTAGTGACTTGGTTCATGGTGTCTATGAATCCAGTTACTCTAACCTGATAGAAACTACCATTGCCCCTCATTAATCACTTGGACTTCTGAGTGATTCTAAGGTTTTTATCAAGGATGATCAGATCATCATAAATCTCCGTGTACTTTGTCAACAAATGGTATTGCTAATAGCACATAGTGAGAGTGGCTATATTTGCAACTTTGAGATATATAGGGGTGAAGGCACAACCAGATAAAGCATCCACAAAAACGCCATTAATAATCAGAAGAAAAGCAAGTGCTAATGAATACAGCAATCCTTAGGGGGACTTTTCTTAATGTCCCCAAAAGATTACAACAAATCCACCAAAGTGGAATCATGTCATTCTGACCCAAATGTTCCTGTAAATGTTCGGTATTTTCCACATGATGGAATTTTTTTTTTAAATATATTTTATTGATTTTTTACAGAGAGGAAGGGAGAGGGAGAGAGAGTTAGAAACACAGATGAGAGAGAAACATCGATCAGCTGCCTCCTGCACACCCCTCACTGGGGATGTGCCCGCAACCAACGTACCTGCCCCTGACCGGAATCGAACCTGGGACCCTTGAGTCCGCAGGCCGACGCTCTATCCACTGAGCCAAACCGGTTGGGCAGAATTTTTTTTTTTTTAAAACAGTGGCCAAGAACAATTCCACATCCTCTAATTGTTCTATAAACCTTCCCATAAATCATTAAGGGAAAATGCCCTGAAAATAGCTTTAAGGCCAGTGTACTTGCCTGTACTACATATCCTTCATTCCAGAAAGCCTAACAAGTGTTAACTCTATCCTTTGGCAGAGATCCCATCTGAAATGATTAAAAGCACACCAAACCATGTTGCCTACTGCTGCTCTTAACACCTGGTCACAAGTATACTCATGTTTCTGTGCCCAAACGTTGCTGACTGGTCACAAGTTAACTCGTGTCTTTTTCTCAACTCATCAGTCAGTATTTTCTGAGACGTGACAAGCAATACATCTAATTCTTCCCATCCATCTTTTATTCTGGCAAAAGTTTTAAAAAAGACATGTCGTGGCAGAGAAGAACATTTGAGTGAATTATGTGCAGACACTTTGTCTGATTGGCTGGGTGACTTTGATAGTCAGCTGGAAGACAGTACTTTGTTGGAAGATAGTAATGAGTCTGACATTAGACCATCATGAAGGCAAAAGAGAAATGTGATAGTATCTCTGACAGTGAGAGTGATTCTGAAGAATGGGCAGAAAAAGACATTTTACCAGCCTTGAAGGATTATACAAACATTTCAGACACAACTGTTCAATTTGAAGACCCCTAAAGTATAAGTGAAGCAACCAATTTATTTTTTGAGAAGGATTTTTTTCTATCTCATTATGTCTCAAACCAATTTATACCACCACCAAATAAAAATAGTGCAAAACCTCTGCTCAAACTTCAACATGGATGGATGTTACTTATATAGATACTAGAGGCCCGGTGCACGAGATTCGTGCACGGCGGGGGGGGGGGGGGGGGGGGGGGGGAGAATGTCCCTAAGCCTGGCCAGTGCCCTTTTGCAGCCCAGAAGCCCTCAGGGATCTCCATCTGACGTCTTAGCACTGCCACAGAGGCGGGAGAGGCTCCTGCCACCGCCGCAGCACTCGCCAGCCATGAACGGCACTCCCTCTGTGGTCAGTGTGCGTCATTGCAACTGCTGGTTCTGCCGTTTGGTCAATTTGCATATTAGCCTTTTATTATATAGGATAAATAAGTTTCTTGGTTTAATTATATTCATGGGACTAATGAAGAAGCCAGAATGGAAAAATTACTTGTCAACCAATCCTTTGAGTCACCCATAGTTCCAAAAACTATGACCTAAGAGGTTAGAGCAAATACTTACATTCTTTCATCTGAATGATAATTCACAAACAACATGTAACAAAGACCGTCTTTACAGAGTCAGACCTCTTTTGGATCACTTTATCTCGAAACTTAAATCTTTACATATAGCAAAGCAGCAGTTGTCACTCAATGGAGAGGACGCATAAGATTTAAGACATACAATCCGGCAAAAATAACAAAATATGGAATTTTAGTAACGATGCTTTGTGAAAGTGAGAATGGCTATATTTGCAACTTCGAGATATATAGGGGTGAAGGCAAAAAGTTACAACAGACGATATTATCCATCTTACGGCCTTTTCTTGGTTCTTGGCATCATATTTACCAAAATAATTACTACAACAGCGTGTCTACAGCTGAACTCTTATTGAAGAACAAAACACTGGTCTGTGGAACAGTAAGGGAGAATCATGGGTTGCCCAAACTACTGAAAGTAGCCAGCCACATGGGTGAGTTC